AATATAAATTTTAAATTTTATAATAAAATGCAAATTAATATTAATATATTAATTAATAATATAAAATCGTCAGCAACATCGTGCTACTACAATATAAAAATAATTAATAACATAATAGTAGCACGATTGATGTTACTGTCTCCAATAGACAAATTTTATTATAGCCAAACAGTTAAAATAAAAATATATTAATAATATTAATATAATTAATAATATAAATATTTTTAGTAATATTAATATATTTAATAATATTAATATATTTAATAATATTAATATATTTAATAATATTAATATATTTAATAATATTTAATTTATATTTAATATATTTAAATAATATTTATAATTTGAATAATATATACGGTTAACGGTACCAAACGGTTAAAATAAAAATATTTTAATAATATTAATATAATAAATTATATTAATATAATTAATAATATAAATATTTTTAGTAATATTAATATATTTAATAATATTAATATATTTAATAATATTAATATATTTAATAATATTAATATATTTAATAATTTTAATATATTTAATAATTTGAATAATATATACGGTTAACGGTACCAAACGGTTAAAATAAAAATATTTTAATAATATTAATATAATAAATTATATTAATATAATTAATAATATTAATATTTTTAGTAATAATAATATATTTAATAATATAAATATTTTAATAATATTAATATATTTAATAATATTAATAACTTTAATAATATTAATATATTTAATAATATTAATATATTTAATAATATTAATAACTTTAATAATATTAATATATTTAATAATATTAATATATTTAATAATATTAATAACTTTAATAATATTAATATATTTAATAATATTAATATATTTAATAATATTAATATATTTAATAATATTAATATATTTAATAATATTAATATATTTAATAATATTAATATATTTAATAATATTAATATACTTAATAATATTAATATATTTAATAATATTAATATATTTAATAATATTAATATATTTAATAATATTAATATATTTAATAATATTAATAATATTAATATATTTAATAATAATATATATATATATATATATATAATTAATAATATAAATAATACTAAAAATATAAATATTATTAATAATATATTTATATTTAAAAATATAAATTATACTGAAAATATTTTTTATTAAATCAAAATTTTTAAAATATAAATATAAATAATATAAATACAATTTAAAAAATTATTACAAATACTATATAACTAAAAATTATGTTTTATGCTAACCTTCCAGCAACTGTTATCGAAACAGATCATAGTTATTAATAATTGTTTTAAACTATAATTGTCACATTGGAACTATGCCATTAGTAGACTAAGTTTAAATAGCTTTATTAATAACATTTGTCTGGATTAGAAAAACAAATGTTTTTTACAGCAATACTGTTTATTAATTATAAACAGTTATAAATAAACATAATTTTTTTAGTTACAATTAGTCAGCTCTTCTAATTGAACTAGTGTTTATAAATTAAACAGTTAAAGTAAATTAAAATAATAATAAAACAAATGCATCAAATATTTATTTAAAATTTTATAAGCAATAAAATACAAAGTTGATTAAATAAGTTTTAAAATACATAAAATAATTGATTATAATATTTATATAATAAAATAAAAATTTGATTAAATAAGTTTTAAAATACATAAAATTATTGATTAAAATATTTATATAATAAAATAAAAATTTGATTAAATAAGTTTTTAAAATACATAAAATAATTGATTATAACATTTATATAATATAGTATAATAATAAGTTTGATTAAAATATAACATTATTAATAATTAATAAAATATATTAACATTACAAAATTATAAATTTATGTATAACATAATTGACAATTAACATTTTACATGCAATTTTAATGAAATTTATGTATTAAGACAAAATAAGCTTTTTAACTTTGAGCTGAAAGTTAAAAAATACTCAATTTTGTAACTTTTTTACATAGATTTTTTAGGGCAACTTTTACAACTTTTACATTTGCACATGCATTCCATTTGTACATCAATGCCTTTGAGTTCTGCGAAATGTTTTAATACACGTATAGCAAATGGGATTTTTATTTCATCCATTCTGAACCGTTGGCTACCTCTTTTGATTTTATTATCCATTTTAGAATAGTAGTAATTTAAGAAAACTACTTTACCTTTAGTATTTAATCCAAATCCATTGAAATCTAAAATAAAATATGTTACAAATTGAAAAAATAATTTTAAAAAATATATTTACCTGATCTGTTAAGAGAAATGAACTTTTCGTCATCTTTATCCACAGTGCCAGTGTTCTCGACAATATCAAAATTGTCCTCATTGTCAATCTCTGCGCTTGTAATAACCTTCTGTTTTTTTGGTACAGGTTTAGTTGCCTTTGAAGTGGACTGTTTTGTTGCACGCTTTTTACCCTTTGGTTCAACCAAAACTATGGGTGCATCAGACCCCTGACTTGAGTCAGAATCGCTACCCTCCAAATTCTCATTTGATACAAATTCACGAGATTTTTGAGACATCTGTAACACAAAAATAATTAAAACATTTATCAAAGTTAAATACTCCACTTACTTTTGACTGTATATAACTCAGTATATTACTTTGTTATCTGTAGTACAAGTAAGTTTTGTCTTTAACTACAAACGCTAAAAACGATTATGATTTCAAAAAATGATTTTACTGCGCTTTTATACTCATAAATTGAGGAAAAACTTGTTAAAATAAAAATAATTACATTTGGGCGTTAGCTACATTTTGACAAGCATAACCAAAGTATTAGGGGGACAAATTTTTTAAAATTATATATATGAATATATAAATAAATTTAAAATAAAAATATATAATTTTTTTTTTTAAAAAAAATTAAAAGAAAAAATTAAAAAATACACAAATTTTATGTTATATCTATTAATCCATATTAGATAATTTAAAAATTCTTTCGAATATTTTTACATATTATTATTATTAAATTGATTCAATAATAATATTTTTTAAAAATACTAAATATTTTGAGAAAAATAAAAAAACGTAATTTTTTGTGTGCGTGTATGATTTTATAGTCGTAATTTTTGAACGGTAAGCAGTAACAAAAATCTGATTTCATAATTGAAATCTAGAGTAAAAATCCTATAAAATTGATACCTCACACGATACCTAGGTCTCATCATAGACCCTAGGGCCCATTTTTTTTTTTTTTTTTTTTTAATTTTTTTTTCGAAAATATTAACCCAACTAAGACTTAATATAAACTCATTTAGACCTTAAATAAAGATTTTAGCATTTTTTAGTGTATTTTAGATAAATTTTAATATTTAATTTTCAATTTACCCCCTGTAGACACTTTGGTTGTTGTTAAAACACCCAAAGTCAAAACTACACCCAAAGTCGAGCCACACCTGAACGACTATTTTTTATTTTTGTGTAAAAACCGAGGCACACCCGATTTAATTGCAATTAGAAGGTGAAATTTTCTGTATATATATCGCAAGTTTAGTTAAATAAATTTATCATTTAGTTTTACAACTACTTTTGTATAACTTTTTAATATTAATAATATTAATAACTATGCCTAAAGTTAATAAAACTAAACTTCATTCATGTGATTGCTGGTACAACAGAAAACCACTTCCAAACTGGCCGTCTCCATCAAATGGTATGTATTACTAAATAATTATATATATTTAAATAATTTTGTTATATTATATTAATATTTTTTTTATTTTTCAATAGTTTGCGAAAACAATAAGGTGTATAAATGCTCCCTATGTGGATACGAGGATTGGATCATATCTGCTGTCAAAACGCACATCGTTCGAAGACATTCAAAACAAGTTCAAAAGCATTTCGATGAATTTGGTGACGTCAGAAAATTTGTTGAAGTTTGGGACCTGAAGACGGAAGCGGTGGACGACAATATTAACTTGGAATAATAATAAATATGTATAAATATCTAACTGTGCTCTATATTAAAATATATTTATTATTATTAATACTATCTCTTATCACATGTTACATGAGTGTCGCCGCCGACGGCTATATCGGCTGTGATGGACTGTGCGGTCAATGCGATCGGCAGCTGAAGGCCAGTCCACTTGTAGATACTTACTGTCATATCGGCGACTATCGACAAAATACAACAAAATACCGGTGCTGTCAAACGTGGACCGATTATCGGTGTCTTCAAAATATTGCTCCCGCCGTCTGTTCAGCGGACAGTTGGCACAACTTTGACTCAGGAGTGGCCAATAAATCTAATCAGTTGTCAGAATCCCTTTGCCTTGAATATCCTTACGGCAGTAAAAAATGTTTGAACAAAGCCTATGGTGTTTATTGTGATTTTTATTTAATTTTTATTTTTATAACAATTTTTTGTTATTACTATAATTATTGTGAATAACTATTATTTAGATAAATTATTTTTATTTAATAATATTAATAATTTTTAAAAATCTAAAATTTACTATACATTTAACTTAAAGTTTATTTATACAAATTTAATTTTTACAAAAAAAAATATTTTATATTATACATAACATGATCCCAGTATACAATATTTTAATTTATATTTGTAAAAATTATTTATGCAAATAAATTAATCTTGACAGTTTCAAGTTTCATATGATAATAATTTAGTATATCAAATAAAATAAGATAAATTATAAAATATATCAGTCTATCATTAACTAATTAGTTGTAAACATTTTCAATAAAATTTTAATATTCATCTATTATTTATAAATATTTTTGTTTTTAAATATTATAAAACAATTTTTTAAATATTTATTAATCTATAAATTAAATTATTTTTCAAATTTGACAATATTTTAACAAATACCAGTTGTAATATTTTTAATCTTTTATGCAAATTATCTGATTACATATTAATTATAAATTAAAAAATATTTGAATAAAATATATAAATGTACAAAATATAAGAAATTTAGCTAATTAAATGTAATTACTAAATATAAAAATAATAAAAATAATATATTTTTAATATCATATATTGTACATAAAAATATAACTATTAAATATTTAAATAAATAATGAAATTATTTTTAGTGTTGTTACTTTGTAACATAATAATTGCTAACTATGTTAATGGCAAATTTGATAACACTTATGTTGAACCAGGTAAGATTATTTTATACATATAATTTAATTAAAAGTTTAACTAAATATTTTATATTAATTTTTTATAATTTGATTTATTTATAAAATAGTTAAAGTTCACACATACACAGTAAGTATTGTAAAAATCATTGTGTTTTTTTGTATTTATAAGTAAAAAAATTTATAAACATTTTATTAACTTTATTTAGATGAAAGGTCGATTATTGTATCCCCGAACATATACATGTAAATTACTTGATCTAACCGAAAACTATGTGGTAATTATTGAAAATATTTCATTAAAAGTGTTATCATTATAAAACAAAACAATTATTTATTAAATAAAATAAATATCCTATTTTAGTTTAGCAAGTTAATAACATTTAGTTTTTTGAATATTTTTTTTTGTTTAAAAATTAAGTACAATATTATTTTATTATTATTATTATTATTTAATTTGATAGAGTAACCAGGTTACTTTAGACATTATCAAAAAGGCCAGGGCATCGACACAGGTAACCACTTTTAATTATAAGCACATGGGATGGAAAGAGGCCAACACACTAGCCATGACCATGGTCAACTCGTTTATGGCGTCCACTAATGATATTGAACGGAACTCCTGTTTGAAGACTACCGGAACTCCAATTGAAAATAATTGTTTTAAGGAAATTGCAACAAAAATAAGCCAAGATCTCGATCGTGTGCACCGACACCCGCACACAATTATTGTGGCACCAGTAGCCATGCAGGCCATTGTCGTGGGCTCTGGTAAACAGCCTACCGTTGATGTTGGACTGGGACCCATATTTTTGCAAATGTTTGAATTTTAGTAATGATAATCTTAAAAAATAAACAAAAATTTAGAAACTAATAAAAAATTATTAGTTTTTTTTAGTTAATAATTATGATAATAAAATTAATACATGTTTAAGAAATGATAATTAGTTGCCATGAAAATTAAAAATAAATAAATTACTGTAAAATTTATCAAGTGTTTAATAAATAGATATAATATATATATAATTTTAATTTTTTTTATTTACTAAAAGAATTATCAGTAAAATTTAATAAACTTACTTTGTATTCAAAAACAGCACTTATTCTGATATATAAATAATTTATGTATTAATAAAGTATTTTTTTAGTCTTTGAGTAAAACAAATAGTTATTTATTTAATTAATTAAGCGTTATTTAGTTGTAATTTTTTAATTATATACATAAAACAATTTATATATTGTACTTTATAGTCAATTTAATAGTTTAAAAATCTTAATCATTAGCCAATAATTCGCATCCCTTAACATACTTGTGTTGTTCACTATTAAACTCTTCAATTAATTCAAGCTCCAGGAGCTCGGGTTTGAAATCGGTGACAAAATATGACCATGCTACACATACATTATCATTATTTTTGTTTTTGTTATTATTATTAGTAGTAGTAGTATCTGTTAACAGCACCCGTATCTCTCGTCTATCATATTTAACAACAATACCCGGTTGTGATTCCAAATAATCTAATCGGTCGAGCATTTTGTTACACACATAAAATAAATCGCCGATTATTTGCTTAAAAAATTATAAATAAAAAAAATTTTTAATAGTAATAATAATTCTAACTATAATTAGTTTAATATTTTTAGTAAAATTAAATGTACAGTAATTATTAGAAGGCTATTAAGCATTTTTAAAATGTTTTATTAACACTTTTATAATTATTAAATTATAGTTATAAATGTAAATTAAATAAACAATAAAAATAATATGAATAATTACTTTTCCAAAGTGTTGTTTATTTAGTAAGCATGGTAGATTATATTTGGATAATACTAGTAATGGCCATTTGTCTACAGTTTTAGCATGACCAATAAATTCAAGATAACCAAATTCATCCGGTTTATTGGCAATATGATGATGGTTAGCCTCGTTTAGTTTAAGTGTACCATACACAAATAATACATGTTTATCCATAGTATAATTTTGTAAATTTATTAAACAAAATTAATTTTTAAAATTAAGTTTATATTACAGTTTTATAAGATTACATAAACAACATATAAAGTAAAGTATATTATTTAAAGTAAATGTTAAATTATATAATTTTAGTACTTATTATATTTTATAGAAAATTTATATAAAAGAACTTAAGTTACAAAAAAAGTACTTAAATTGTATTTATATTTAGTTATAATTATAAATACAAACTAATCAAATACTTGATATTTTATAAATTCAATAAATTGTAAATTTGTAACAATTGTACTATTTGTATGATTGTAATATATAAATAATAATAACAATAATAGGATTACTATTTTTTAGACTTTTATAAATAAAATTTAGACATAACTAATACTATTAAAATATATTATCAACAATACATGGCTTAAATATTATTAGTATTTTTTTTATATTTTTACTATATTAATATAAAATTACTATTTTATTGATTAATCCATATGTCAGAGAAAATTTTTTTAGATTTGACACTTAAGTGATAAATAGATTAAAAAACATTTTAGTATAGTTTTTATGTGACAAAATTATTTGATATTATTATAATTATTAATATTATTATTATAATAGTGATAAATTAAAGCTTCAATGAAAAATATTTTTTAATTGTAAATATTTAATAAGGTAATTTTTTAATTTATTAACAAAATCTTGTTTTATAAAATATTAAACTAATAATATGAGAGTTAAGAAAGTTATAAAATTTTAGGAGAAGTATAGGGGAAGTAAATGGGGGTCAAATGAAAAAATCTAAAAATCTTGATGGGTATGTATGTACTCTTTTATTGTATTTTAAACGGCAATTTTTACAAAAATTCAAAATCAAAAAGGGGTCAAAATAAAAATTATTTTAGTATTTTTTATAAACCAGATATGTTATTAAGTCTACCGGCAATATCGTCACTGGGATTATAATCCATTGAAATATCAAATTCACAATCTTTAACATATCCCTGTTGTTCACTATTATAGTTGTCTATAGTATCCAACTCCAGGAGTTCCTGTTTGAAATCGCTAATAAAGTAAGTCCAGGCCATATGTACGGTGCCATCATCTAACAGCACCGGTATTTCGTATCTGTCGTATTTGAAAAATCCGGGCAACGATTCCATGTAATCGAGATGATCGCGCAATTTGTCGCACGTGCACAACACGTCACCGTAGATTTGCTATATAATTAATGTTTGTTAAATATAATACTAATAAATTAGTAATAATGTATAAATTTCCTAAATATTTTTAATGTTTTAACGATATAAAATGATAATAATATTATAGATTTAAAAATAATACAATTACCTTGCCAATATTTTGTTTGTATAGCAAACATGGCATACGATATTTTGTTAGTACCAATAGTGGCCATTTGTCTGCAGTTTTGGCCCGACCTATATATCTATAGGAGCCATTACCCTTACCATTGGCTATGTAATGATGATTGACCTCGTCAATTTTCATGGTACCATACAAAAAGAATAAATGTTTGTGCTGGCTCATATTTTAATAAATATATTAAACTTTAATTAAAATAATGATTAAAACTAAATAATATTTTTTCCTAATAATGTATTATATATTAGATTAAAAATTGTAATGATTGTTATATCATGATAACATATTTATGTTGCAAATTGCAATAATCTAATAAATGTCAATTATAAATAATAAACCAAAGATTTTTGTTTTTATCATAAAATGTGTATGGTGAAACTATTTGTAATATAAATTAATTGTTATACATTTTTAAGACATGTGATATACTGTAGTATTTTTTATTTTAGTATATTTTACAATCTATTAACTATTGTTTATATAATATTTAATAATATATATTAAACGTTAAAACAAAAATATTTAAATTTTAGTTAACAAATATTTTTATTATATTTGTAGAATTGGAAAATAAATTTATAAAATAATTGAAAATTTACTTTTATGAGATTCGTATTTTAATTTTGTTTTATAACATTTGTTATTTTTAACATTACATATAATTAATATTAATTTTACTTAATAATCAAAGTAACAAAATTAATCAATTTTATTATACATTTTGTTTTTAAATTTTAAAAGTTTAATCATAACAATTAATTTAAAAAATAAATTCTTTATAATGTTTGCAATAATGTTTGCATAATTCAAATTAGATTTACGAGTTGGACCAGAAAAACGGCACTAAATGGCATATAAGAAATGACATTTGCATATATATAATGTAAAATTTTAATTTAATTAATATGTTAACAACTATATAAAAGTATTATATACCAGAATTATTGCCATAACTCTTTGTTTTAGACATAACATTAAAAAGTGTTGTTTTCAGCCATCAATTGATCCAAAATGTCATCAATTATCAAAACCATTTATTAAATTATAAATAGTATGTAATTAAAATATTATATAATTATCTTAAGATTACTATTAATAACAATTATTAATTAAAATAATATTAATTACAAAACAAAAGCAAAGCACATGCTTTGATAAAAAAAACTACACACAAAAAAAATTGATGAAAAAAAAGTCGGACTCTCACAATGGAACATTTTTTCCTGTTTCTCTCAATTTTAAACAAAATATATTTTAACTTATAGTTTAACCATTACATTAATCAATTTTATAAAAATTATCACCTAATGGGAGGGTTAAAGGGTTTATTTAAGGGGTTAAAACTTAGCTTAAATTTAAATAAAGTAAATAAAAAATTTTATTCATGAAAATGGTAATTTATAAAAAAGTCATTAAAACACAAATTTTTCTTACAAATTGCACAACAAATAAAAGCAGTGTTTTTACATATATTACATTCAATTGATTCTAATTTAAATAAAATTTTGTTTACATTTGATAATTCATTATTATAATCATTATTATTATCATTATTATTATCAATATTATATAAGCAATTCCATGATTTTTTAAAAAATTCATTAAAAATATTTGAATTAAATTGATTAAACATTAATGACCATAATTTAATAATATTGTTTCTATGTTTTAATTGTATGTCTATATTTTCTAGTAAAACAAAGTTTGTTATACGCCTTACAAAATCCTTACAATACCTAAAGACCCCAACATCCAATGGCTGTAATTTTCCTGTCGCACGGGGAGGGATTGTAAGTCTTTTAAGCTTTTTACCAGAATTATTTTCGTATATTTTGTCGTCTTTCTGTCCGCCAAATGAGTCCAACAATAATAAACAATTCTCAGGCATATCGGGTAAAAATCCATTTTCAAACCTAATAATAATAAATGTAAATTCCAAGTGTGTTCTTCTGGCTAGGATATAACAAATTATAATATATAAAAATACTTACCACCACTTAATATGAGATTTAGTTAGCTTTCCTGAATGACTACAGGTGACAATTATGTTGGAGCAACTTATCAATGACTTTTTCACTATTGGACCCAAAACACCATTTGACTCTTTAAAGCAGATTAATATTTTAGGAAAAAAAGTTCCATCATTTCTAATGACTGGCATAACAGTGTATGAATGTGTACAATCAAATAAGGCTTTGACAGATAGAGATGTAGTTGTCTCTCCTTTATTAGTTAAAGTTCTCATTGAATGCATTTCATAATTTACTCCCGTTTGGTCAGTATTGCAGATCTCACTGTAATAAAAAAACAATTATTATTCCTAGCCACTAGAACACACTGGAAAATACCTTTTTTTATAATCACTTATTAAAGCATTAAATTCAATTTTAAATTGATTAATAGACTCATTCAACTTATCTTGATTAACGACTTCACGATAACTAACAATTTTAACTGCTTTTCGTGAAACAATTCTATTTCTTAATTTAAAATTTCTCATCCACGAAGAACTAGCTTTAATTTTAAAGTTGTCTTTATGAGCAAAATCCAATGCCCATCAAATCTACTGAATGAACGGGGAGAAATTTATCCCTGGCATTTTTATATTTGTTTAACACATAATTTTCAATTCGTTGCCATTTTTGCTTATAGTTGCCATTGTTTGCCACATATTTCTTAATTTGACTTAAATTTTCAATATTCTTCAATGAAAATCTTTTCATAATTGTTTTTCTCGAATGATTTTTGTGTTCATTGCAATAATTTACTATTTCTTGCATTCTTTCAAAACTTATCTTTAATTCTAAAGACTATAAAAAAAATTATCCCAATGTGTTCTAATGGCTAGGATTGATATTTAGATTTACCTTTTGTGGTGAGATTTCATAATCGGATTCTTGTTTTGCATTAGTAGTTGCGTTTTCAAACTCATTACTTTCAATGTCCATTAGTTCTCCGTCTTCGATAGTGTCATTAATATTATCAACAAAATTATTAATTAATTTAAATAAATTATTTGCATAATTAATTTCGTATTGATTGATATCACTATTGTTATTAACATAATTATCTTTAATTAATTTATTTAAAGTATCCAAAACATAAACATTAAAAGATTGCATTATATTGTCTTCTGTAATGTCAATTGTTTTGTCACGCAATTATGTATTGATATCTTTCTTTGACTTGCAGACAGGGTTGATAAATGAGATGATATTAGTTAATAGCTGTGAATAATTAAACACTTGTTTTTAATATAAATATTGATAATTTTCGTAACAAATTATTATATAAATAAAAACAATTATATATCTTTCAAAATGTAAACAAACAAAATAAAAGTTTTGTTATAAAAAATAATTATTTACATAACAGTTTTTAAAATGATTTATGAATTACAAGTCATAATATATTTATTTTGATATTTTATTATATTTTAATAGATATTCTGTTATATTTAATTAAATATTTTATTGATTATTATAAAATTATATTTATTTTATAAAAAATAATTATATTTTAGTAATATTAATAAAAAATAAACTAAAAAATAAAAAATAAATACTATTTGTGTGTTGTACTGGCTAGGATTCGAACCCGTGCTTTTTGGGTCAATGTGAGGCGACGTTACCATTGCGCCACACTGTCTAACATAAAACTATACTCTTAAAAGTTATCATAACTTTATTTAAATTTAAGCTAAATTTTAACCCCTTTAACCCTCCCATTGGGTGATAATTTTTATAAAATTGATTAATGTAATGGTTAAACTATAAGTTAAAATATATTTTGTTTAAAATTGAGAGAAACAGGAAAAAATGTTCCATTGTCAGTACTAACTAAACCGTATTTGTTTGTTTGGTTTGTTTACAAGTATTTTTTCTTGAAATTAGTTTCACTGTTTTATAAATAAATTAAATAATTTATACATTAATAACTAATAATTATTAACTAAATATCAATTAAATTACTTTTTTTTTCTTTGTTGGCCTCAGTGTCCGTCCGATATATATAGTATATTGTCGTCTTTGATGAGATTAATGTCATCAATCTCTCCCCCTCTTTGGTTAAAAAGCGTTTATATTGAACTCCAAACTTATCCGACGCCGAAACCAACAACTCATATAACGAATGGTCACCTGAAAGGCCTAACAATAAGAAAACAATAATCAATGGATGGATGAGTCGATGGATATCTCTATCTCTTACTTTGCCGTCGTGTTCGGTGCCGTTTCGGAAGATAACTACACGTTTCATCTCTTCAATAGACGTCAACAATAATCATCATTGAAATGAAAAACTAAATTGAAATTAATGGCCAAAACAAACAATAAGATAATTTTCAATAAGATTTTTATTAATATTATTTATTAATAAAACAAAACCTGTTTTAATTATTGCACAAAATAATAAGTGAGATTTTATTGGAGCTAATCATACACATGCGCAATATATCTCTCACTTATATAAGTATAACAAGATAAAAGGCCAAATATGTATAATACAATGTAAATTACATGAAAATTTTAGATTACAAAAACAAATTTAGCGCCACTTAGTAACAAAAATACTAAAATTCACAAACAAATACATGTTTTGTAATAATCATTATATTTTTATTTTGAAAAAATTTGAAATTAGAAAAATTAGATATTCAATTTAATTCTGGTATTGAAATATATTAATGAAATATTTAATATTAGTTTTAGAAAACAACGTTTCTAATAACGATATTGAAATTATATAACATTTTTATGTAATAATTTTAATAAAAAAATAAATATTTAATCATTGTTAATGTAATTTTTCTATAATTGTAAAATACATCCAGTACATTGTATTTTACTGTAATTTACAAAGCCAAAATTGAAAACCTTGTATTTTACCAACCCTGGTTATTACTGTATTTTTAAATATCTGAAAATTTATATAAATTTATAACAATGTTTAGTAACTTACAAATTATACAAATAGTGTTATTAATTGTTTGCTTAATTAGTTTGTTTAAAACTCATTAATCAATTGATGTTAAAAACGACCATTTTTTATAACTGTTTATGTCTTTCCAATAGTCCGGTCAATATTGAACTGTCCGTCAATAAGTCAATTGAAACAACACATGTCTCGCCATATTATACCCGCTTTGGGTTTCGGTGTTAGCCGTTATGGACAACATAACTATGTATAACCACATAGTAGTGTTGTGTATATATTCGCGATATAGTATAAGCATAAAAATATTTATATTTATAGTAACAGAATATAGAAAGTGAAATAATTTTTTAAAATTGAAATTTGTGGTAAGTATCATAATTTCAATTAATGATATGATACCCCACATGACTAAAGTTAAATTTATTTTGTTATAGTAAGTCATATAATTTCTTTCATAACTTAATTAATTTTAAGTTGGATTAGGAGTTCGTCTGGAAATGCTTTTATGTATTCTCAACTGGTTTATAATCGTTAATTAAATTTTCATTTATAATTTGTATTTTATAAAAGTATTTTTTACAAAAAATTTCAAAAATTCATAAAGTTTGAAGCTTTTCAATATTAATTTATCTAGATAAGTATTTATTTATTATCAATTATTATTGTATGATTACAAACTAGGATAAACTTAAATACTAAATATACTACAAAATTCTAAAATAAAGTTAAATCTATTATTTACATTATTTAAGTGTACTGTACTTACGTATTTGTAACAATCAGATAAATTAATTTATAAAAATAAGATAGCAACTTTCAAGATAAATAGCACAAATTTATTTTATATTGTAAATTAATAACAATAAGTGTAAAATCTATGAAAATTATTGATTAATTTTGTTGCATCTTAAAAGATAATCTGATAAACAAAAGTATATAAATATAATTTAAAAGCGAGTAATTATATATTTATTTTATTAACTAAATAAACAAATAATTTTTACTTTATTTTATTTAAATAAGTTAATAGTAATGCAATTAGTAAATAAAATTTTGTTTTTAGCTGTAATTGTAGTATCAGGTAAATTAATTTGTTTTTTCATTTAATAATATAATTTTAATTATAATTTTTTTTAGTAATAAATGCTACATCAATAGTACGGTTGACACTATTACTAAAGAGCAACTGTTGGCTGATATACATAACCTAACTAATAGTACAACTGTAGAGTTAAACCAATGGAAGTAAGTATAAAGGTTACGATGATTTGGCCAAACAATTGGACGGGTATTTGACTAAATTGTCGGGTATTCAACAAAATGTAGAAAAGGCAGACCCGACAACACCCGACGGAAAGGCAATCATTGATAGTATGGCTACAGTAATGGATAGTTTGTGCACCGATATCAACAAAATACTGAACACTGGAAAGACTAAAATAGGCAAAGATAACAAAGATATTGTATTACAATTGTCTATTAGTCTCTATGATTATCACAATAGTGTTAATGAATTTATTGAAAAATTGAAAAAATATGCAGATATTGTAATTTCAAGTTTAGATTCAATCAAAATAGTTGAGTTAATTGATGTTAACAAAAATGATACTAAAATTATTGATACATTGGTTAAAAATGTGACCCTCATAACTGGCTCATTGATCATCAATTTGGAGAGTGTTAGCCAAATAACTAAAGACCAATTGATAGATAAGCTCAACAAAAATATTCAACAAACAGATAAATATGTCGTAGAGTTTAGATCGAAAGGCTATGAAGAGTTGGCAACAAAAATGGCAACATTTTCTGAAAAATTAAAATCAATGTTGAATACTGTGGAAACAACAGATCCCAAGACACCCGATGGTCAACAACAGATTGATAGTATAGCAGTGGTTAGGGAACAGATGGAAAAGGATTATATGAATGTGTCACACGAAGGGTTGACACAAATTGGCAAAAATAATAGACAATTAGTTATAAAATTGGCCCAAAATGTCGACACTTATAGAAATAATGTGATTGAGGCGAGCGATAAAATTGCAACAATGAATGACATAGTAGTCTCTAAATTGGACACAACTGTCCTCAGAGGTCTACAAAATCATTGTACCAATGATAACACAGTTGTTCAAAATATGATGAAAAAATGGTGATTTTAAATAGTATATACTTTATAAAATCATCATTTTTTCATCATATAAAGTATATTTATGATAGGTTTGCTATTTAAAAAAAATTATTATTATTTATTATAAAAATATTTAATGTTATTAAATTATAAATATTTAAATGCAAAATAAAAATATATTAAAAGTTTTTATATAATAGTATTTATATATTTATTATATAAACAATTATTATATCATATTAATAATATTATTTATAAGTAATAAAATTAAATAAAAATTCTAAATATTAATACAAAAGTATAATATTAATAGTGTTTAAAATAATAAAGTATGAAGTTTAAGTATACAAAAAAAAATTACAAATATATCATTTTTAAGTTAATAAAAGTAAAATTTTTATACTTATAATGTCTATTTTTATCATATTTGTTTTTTATAATTATACAGTATATCAATGTTATGCCAATGTAATATTTTAGTAAGTTATGACAGTATTTTCTTATTCAATATTAACATTTTTATTATAATAATACTAACTTATTAGTTTTATAAGAAAATTATTAATATTGAATAAAATAAGACTGTAATAACTTATTACTAATAACTTATTAAATATTAAAATAAAATTAGAATTGTATAAATTTACTAAAAACACTATCCTATCAACAATAATTTTGTTTTTTAAAAAACTTAATATACTTCAATTTAATTTAATTGAAGTTTTTAATTATTTTTAAAATTATAAAAGCTACGATTCATTTAATTATAACTAGATTATTTCAATTATTATTAATATATACATGATTTTTATTCTAAAAAAATTCACTAAAATGTTATGAAAAAGTTTTTTTTGTGTAGTTTTTATTAAAATTATATTTATTAAAATAAAAATAATTAATTTTTATTTTCAAGAATTGTGACATAATTATATTTTTTTTAAATAAAATAAAATACTAATTATTATTTTATAAAATTATTTTATTTTTTATAAAGATAAAATTTATAAAAATATAATTATTCATTTTACTATTACATATAAATCTTTTTTTCAATTATAAGTTCTAATTAAAAACTATTTTATAATAATTTTGCAATATATATAAGTGCAATTGTTTTTAAATTATCGATAATTTAGATAAATACATTGTAAAAAATAGAAAAATTAATACAATATTGATAATTTTAACAAAAAATAAGTTACAAAATACTATTGATATAATATTCACATTATATACAGTACTATTGTTTAAATATATATCGTATATAACTTATATATAAAATATGTAATGTGATTTGTTTCACAATAATTAAGTAAGTTTTTTCTGTTTAAAACAATTTGATTAGATATAAGCTTATTAAATAGTATATATAAGAAAATGTTTCAATAAATAATTATAATTAACAAATTATTAATAATATCACAGTTAGAATACTATATTTACTACTAGTTTTTTAAAAATGCAATTATTAAAACAAATATTGTTATTTGCAGTTATTGTAGTATCAGGTAATTATTATTAATATTTTTACTAAATTAATTGTTTATATAATAATTGTTTAATTTTCAGCAGTAAAAGCTTCATCACTTGTATGGATCAAATCAAATGAATTGGAGGCCGATATCACTAAAGAGAAATTATTGTCAGATATACATAACATAACCCATGAAATAACCAAATTGTCTGCTGAATGGAAAGCTAAAGGTTGCGATGATTTGGCCAAACAATTGGACGTATATTTAACTAAATTGTCGGGTATTCAGCATAACGTAGAAAAAGCTGATCCCAAGACAGTTGACGGACAGGTAGTTATTGAAAGTATGTCCATAGCGTTTGACAGTTTGATCACTGAAATAAAAGAAACAGTTATTATTGGTAATCGACAAATTGGCAAAAATAACAAACAAATAGTCAAACAATTTGCATACAATTTGTTTTCTTATAACAGAAGTTTAACTGATTTTATAAATAAATTGAAACGTTATGAGGATAATGTACTGGAAAAAATTAATTCAACAAAACTTAATCAACTAATTGATTTGGCCAAAAAAGATACCCAGATTATTGAATCAATTGTAAAAAATTGGACAACCATAACTGATTTTGGGACAGCCTATTATCAAATTGGTAGCTTATCACCTACCAAAGCTGAGTTAGTTGATTTGCTCAATAAAGATATTGTAACGACAAGTAAATATGTAACTGAATGGCGGGGTAAAGGCTATGAGGAGTTGGCCAAAAAAATTACAGTAATTGATACAAAATTGAAGTCAATGTTATCGAGTGTGGAAAAAGCAGATCCGAAAACACCTGACGGACAGGTCCTCATTGAAGGTATGGCTGTGGCCCGGGAACGGGTCCAACAGGACTATATTAAACTGATTACTGAAGGAAATCAAGAAATTGGCAAAAATAATAGACAATTAGTTGGAAAACTGTCGGACACTGTAGACAACTATAGGAAAGTGGCAGAAATTTTAAGCAATAAGATTCAATCAATTGATGATATTATAGTCTCAAAGTTAGACACATCAGTGCTTAGAGTATTACAACAACAATCTATTGATAATAACAAAGATATTCAAACAATGAGCAGAGACTGGTAATTAAATATATAATTTATAATAAGTTATAATTATTATAAATTTGTAATAAAATAAAATAATACAATATGTTTATAATATTGAATAAAAATATTATGTTAACTTAAGTATTTTTTAACATCAAATTTAATGTATCTATTTATTAAATAAACAACTATTAAGTTTGTAATTTTATTATTTTAATAATATTATTTTAAAAATTTCAATTAATTATTTTTCGAAAAATACAAAATAAAAAACTTATTAACATTTTATAGTATTAATTAATTTTTTATTAATTCTTAATTTATAAAAATATTATTGTTACAAATAATAAATCTCATTATTTTATATTAATATTGATTTTTCACTCAAAAGTTCTAATTAAAAACTATTTTATAATAATTTTGCAATACTATTATCAATAAGTGTTTTAAATTATCAACAATTGAAGATAAATATAGATATATTGTCTAATATAGAGGAATTAAAACAAAAAATGTTTAATAATTTTAACAAAAGACAAAACTATATTGTATTAAAAATATATTAAATATAAACTTATCAGAAACTTTTTATATATTTTCATATACTTTAAAATTATTCCTAAATTTATTGTAGATTTCCGTGAATTTTTTTTTTAAATAAAAAATATCTTAAAAAATACAATTATTAGTTTACAAAATATTTTAAACTTTTAAAGCTTTTAAGATAGTTTGATAATACAGACCATATTATATTTATATAAGTATTGGTGCTCTAATTATAAGTAATGGGTTTACCAATAATTAAGTAATTATTTTTTAAAAAAACAATTATTAGATATAAGCTTATAGTTTCAGTAAATAATTATAATTAACAAATTATTAATATCACAGTTAGAATAATATATTTACTACTATTATAGTTTTTTTAAATGCAATTATTAAAACAAATATTGTTATTTGCAATTATTGTAGTATCAGGTAATTATTATTAATATTATTACCAAATTAATTGTTTATATAATAATTGTTTAATTTTCATAACTTTATAAGTATAATTTAGTGTTGCAATATCACTAACAGTAGATAATAATTTAAATATTTAGATATAATATTAGTGTATATTTATTGATAACTAATTATTTTTTATTTTTCTAGTTAAGATATTATAAGCACACATAAAAATAAAATCATAATTTATAAATTTAATAAAATAAAAATTTAATTTACAAACAATTAACAAAATAAATAATAATAATAAATTATCTAGATTCAATTTTAACAAACAATGATTCGGGTGTATGTTTGTAATGTTCAAATATTTTGGAGAATTTTAATTCAGTTTTTATATTATTATTAAAAATATGATCACTACTATCACATCTGACTAATCGATACTTTAACAATAACCGGGCGATTGTTAGCTTAACACTCATTGTGGCAAATCGTTTGCCAACACACATACGACTGCCGGCGCCAAACGGTAAGTATGCATACGGTTGTATTGAATGCCTATTGGCCGGTAAAAACCTGTCCGGATTGAAACAATTGGGCTCCGGATAGTAATCTGTACAGTAATGTACAGCATGTTTGGCAAACTCGACTGCCTGTCCTCTGGCTATAACTATACCGGTATCACCCAATTGGTAGTCACTGGCGGCTATCCGTCCTTCGCGCAGTGTTGACGAATTCAGACGCAACGATTCCGCCACTACTGCGTCCAAGTAGTCATTGCGCAACAATCGGTCACAATCTAACTGTTCTTCTCTATTATCCATACAATTTGCAATTAGTTCATCGTATAGTCTGTCCTGTATCTGGGGATTGGTAGCTAAATCATAGGTTATAAAAGCAATAATTGTTGAATTGGTACAGGAGCCCGCCTCAAACATAGCAAACAAATTGGCGACAACTTCATCACAGGTTATATATTTCTTATTGTCGTTACAAATATTATTATTAATATCAGCTGGATAAAAAAAGTATTTTTTAATTATTATGTATTAATTTAAATAGTTTTTACAATAGAAAATTTACTAATTGTTTTTAATTAAAAATATATTTTGTATGTAATTATTAAATATATTAAATTACTTTTTAATTAGAAAAACTATAAGTATTAACTCTTTATCCAAATTATTATATTATTAAATATATTAAGAATTAATTTATAATTCACTATAATTGGTACATTTTAATTTCATTTTAAAGTTTAATAATTATATTTTATAATTATACTATAATATTTTAAATAATTAAATTATTTTCAAAAAAATAAATACTTACTATTTTTATTATTACAAGTAAACAAAATTTTATTTGTATGCATCAAATAGCCTAACAGGTTCATCACCATATTGTAGAGTATCAGTTGTTGTTGAACTATCATTGTTTATCAAACGTTGTTTTATTTGTTCACTGGTTAATTGGACAAACACATCCAGTAGTCTACTGGGAAAGGGATGTGTAATGTTAAACAATAGACGGAGTAGTGAACCGGGCATAAGTAGCAACAGTAATATCCGCCAATGGGATGGAGTTAGTATACCACTTAACGATTGATAGACACCAGAATTGACATCAATCGTGTCTATAGAGAACATACAGGACATCATAACCGACAAACCATAGTCATTGTAGAGCTTAATCATGTTGAGCACCGTTGGTTGTTGTTGTCCATCATTATTGCTGACATACCGGTCTATACGATCGGTTAGCCGATTGATTTGACGGCCGATTCTCAGTTCCATTGTTTGCATTTTTTTGTGGAAAAAAGTGAGCTAACAATTGGCCGGACGCGAACCCACTGATCGTCTAGACTATTGTCCAAACTTTGGCGGCAAACCTGATGGCCGTCGGGTGTCAGGAATACATTAGGCGATCGATTTCGAAACAAATGAAAATCTTTGATTAAAATTAGTTTCAATAGACTCGGATCGGCAATAGTCAGCACCGGTTGGTTGCCATCGAATGTACTAAAATAAAATGAATGTTTAATTTTAATTTTTATAATCAGAAATTATTGTAAACTTACCCGTAAACTTTACCATAGTTATTTAATCTTTCAATTTCTACTAATGATTTAGATTTGAACAGTTCCTGCCATAGATTACCAAAATAGACGATGGGTTTGGGTCCCGGTATTCCACGTTTAGACCAATAATTGTAATTTTGTGTTAAATATCTAAAAATAATATTTTATAAAATAATATTATTTAATAATATTTTTTCGTTAAATTACGCAATTAACTTTAAAAAATAAAAATACATACATGTAACAAACAATAAGTAAACATAACATATAAAATGCTAATTGCAACATTCTGTAATAATGAATTTACGTTATTTTTTAATATTTTATTTTATTTTAAAATAATGAATTATAAAACTAATATTATATTAGCAATAGCTTACATCATATTTATATATAATGTAAACAATTATAATTTGAAAACATTGTATAACTCAAGCACTTACAGTATAAATGCTTAACTTCTTTCATATTTCTAGAAACATTGTGACCAATAATTAAGATAAGGAAATATAACTCTTATTTTTTATAAAGAAATTTTTTAATTATTATTTATAAATAAATATATGTTTTATGAGATTTAAGGTATTTTTTATATTGGATTATAATCAATTAAAAATAATAAACTATCAATAGAATTTTAATAAAACATAAATTTTTTTATATAATAATATAAATATATAAATTTTAAAATTAATTAATTAATTAAAAAATGATATAGAAATTTCATATTATATTAATAAAGTCAAATACAACTGGGATTTTCTTCTAATAAAATTATTATTATAAATTAGAAATATTTATATAACTATCATATTATGAAATTAATGGGATTTTAAATTAATTAAAATAAATCAATAAAAATTAATATAAGAATTTAATTTTTATTTATAAAATCTATTATAATTTAATTAACTAGTTTTTTTTACAAATTTTTAAATCATAAATTTTAATAATGTAGCAATTATTATACAGTTTTATATGTTATATTATGTTTTATGTTATATAAATGATTTTATATTTTACATATACTGTACACTCTATATATTTTACAGTTAGTGCAGTTATTTTAAAATAAACAAAATGTACTTTAATTAATTAATTTAATTTATATGAAAAATAAAAACATAGTAAAGAAATAAATTATAATTTAATATTATATTTGATATAATTTATAGTATAGAAATTTTTTATAAAACTCCAAAATAATAAACTATACAATCACTCTCTACCTATTGGCTTAACATTTGTTATATTTCTATCTATTTTTAATACTAATAGTTACACAAAGTTACACAAATTGGTCTATTTATATATACATTATTTTTATATAATTAAAATATAAATTTGTGTAACTTTTTATAACTTGTAGTAAGAAATTTCAAAAATATGATAAAATGTTTGATAATTTAGCAAAAACAAGTTATACAAAATACTATAATAATCATATGTATTATTTTATCTATCAATTATTATTATAGTTTAATTAAATTTAAGATAATTAAATAGTATATAAAAAGCAGAAATATTATAATTTAAAAATAATTAATTAAAATTAATATATTACTAGTTTAAATAATATATTGTTTTATATTATTATAGTTTTATAATAATGCAATTATTAACAGAAATATTGTTATTTGTTACTGTAATATCAGGTAAATAATAATTTAAAAATAAAAATAATATATATATTGTATATAGAGTTTTTAATATAATAATTTTTTGAATGGTTTATTTAATTTTCAGCAATTAATGCTTCATCATTAATATGGATCAAATCAAGTGAATTGGGCGCCGATATAACAAAAGAGCAATTGCTGTCAGATATACATAACATAACCGATGAAATAACCAAATTGTCTGCTGAATGGAAAACTGATGGTTACATTGATTTTGTCAAACAAGTGGACGAATATTTGATTGAATTGTCGGGTTTACTGCATAACATAGAAACAGCTGATCCCAAGACAACGGACGGACAGGTAGTTATTGAATGTATGGCCATAGCGTTGAACCGTTTGCGCACTGATATAACAAACACAGTTACTGAATGTAAAAAGAAAATTGGTAAAAATATTAAACAATTAGTTTTAGAGTTATCGAGCAAACTATACAGTTATAACTATAGTATAAGTGATTTTCAAAAAAAAATTATCACCCTGGGAAGATAGATGGCTAGAAAGGATGGAAACAACAAAAATAATTGAGCTTGTTAATTTGGCTAAAAATAACACCAAAATTATTGAATCAATTGTTGAAAATAATTTTCCAACTAATTTGATGATTGCCTATTTGGGAACGGGTGGTAATGGATATAATATTACTAAAGATGAGTTGATAAAGTTGATCAATGAAAGTATTGAAACAACCAATCATTATGTCAGTGATTGGCAGACTAAACATAACGACAAATTGGTTACAAAAATGCTCGCATTTAATACAAAATTGAAGTCAATGTTGTCGAGTGTGGAAAAGGCAGACCAGAAAACAACCGACGGTAAGGTACTTATTGATTCTATGACTGTAGCACTGGAAGTGATAAAACATGAATACTATACACTTATCAATGATGGAAATGTAGAAATTGGCAAAAATAATAGACAACTATTGATTAAATTGTCCGATACTGTGACCGCTTATATAAAAGCAATAGATGTGTTGTACAATAAGCTTAAATTGTTAGATGATATTGTAGTGTCAAAGTTGGACACAAAATTGTTTAAACTATTTATGCAACAATCCATTAATGATAAAACAATTATTCAAAATATGAACAAAAATTGGTAATTCAAGTTGTTATATGAAATAATGAATAATAATTAGTATTTTGTATTAAAATAACATACTATTGAATGTATAGTTATAAAATTGAATAAAACATTTTAAGCATTTTATTATTTTAATGTTAAAATTTATTAATTATAGCATATTTGCAATTAATTAATTAATAATATTTTATATGTATTTATATGTTATATTAAAATTTTTTAGAAATAATGTTTCAGAACTCATATTTTTAATTGTTTTGCAAATTTAAAAATAATATTTATTAATAACTTATACAAAATATGTTTAACTACATAATAATAATTTTGTTTAAGTTTTCTTTAAACAAACTTCATATTTATAAAAAAAATAGTAATAAATAAACTATTTTTTTAATTAATTAATTAATAGTTAAATTATCTTTAAATAGACATCGCAAGGGTTCGGTTTCATTAACATCTCGTTTATAACGTTTGCATTCAAAATAGCTTTCACACAAACATTTCTATAAAAATAATTATTAATAATTATTTTATGGTATTTTATATTAAATATTTTATAAATGAGTTATTGTCAAAACTATTAACAAAAATTATAATAATCAATAACAAAAAAATATACCCTATTTTCACAGTCATTCCAATACATAAGTCTTGGTTGACATGAGTAGAAAAACCGGGGTCGGGGGGCATCCAAATCAAAGGCACAACACTCACTGGCACCACAATCCCGGTCCTCGGTTTCGGGATGACATGGCTTAAACTCGCCATTTGCTACCATAGCATATATAACTAATATAACAACAAACAAAACTATGAATTTCATTGTAGTTTTATTAAAATTTTATATTCTTAAAAAAACTATTAAATTAATTAAAATTTTTATTAAATTTATTTTTTTGAAATACTACTTATAAATGTTTAATTAATTTGAAAATTTTGTCTGATTTTATACAATTATATAATCTATTTTGTGCTTCAGTGTAGGTCATACCCCATGAATATAGTCTATAACCCCCAGTATTCAATATAACTTCAATACTTTATGTGGGTATACCACTGCAATTAATTTTAATTAATTTTTTTAATATAAAAGTAATTAGTTTTGTAAGTAAATACTTGAAAACAAAAACACATTTTTAAGAAATTATTTAAAAGATAATTATTAGCAGACAGTTATTAACAAATTTATAAAACAATTAATTGTGTATTGATTAATTTTTATATTAATCAATTATTTTATCTATGAGTACACGTATAGTACGCCAACATATACTACAATCCAGTACATCCAATCTTACATTTCAATTTTACATTTAAGTTTCAGAAAAAATTAATTTTTTATATATAAAATAATAATTTGTTATTGATTTATATCTATCAATGTTGTTGTGAGAGAGGCATATTAATAAAATAGTTAAATTATACTTATAATAATAATAACAAATTTTATGACTAGTGATGCTTTGATGACTGTCCACTGGTTAGTCACCAGATTATCACTGGTCACACATATTGTTAATAATTAGTGAATTAATATTATTTTTCTAAAAATTAATTTTGTTATTAAAAAAATTTTTTTAAACTAATTAAATATTTAGTAACTTATATTACTATATAAAAATTGTATAATTTGTTTTAAATCGTTTATAGTTTTTGTTACTGTTGTATTAATTATTATTATTATTTTTAAGATATATTACATACAATTGACATTTTGTTGATTTATGATAATTTTAATCTATAAATCACTTAATAAATTAATAAGAATGTCATATAATAAGGGGTGATTAAAATATTACGTTCTCATTTTTTAAAAAAGAAACTGGAAATAAGACTCTCTATTCAATAGTAATATATTTATTCAAACTGTTATTATTATAATATTAACTTTGAAAAAAATAATCCCTTAAATCCATTAAGTTATTAATATTTTAAATGCGAAAGTTCCTTAATTTCTCTACCCCTCCCCATTGTTCGCTTTGACCGACACCCCCCTCACCGAGTGATAACTTAATATGAGAATCACCGCTAATAAGTTAAAATTTTAAATTCTTAGCAATTTATTTACTCATTTGATTAATAAGTGATCTTGTTTATTTTTGCAATATAAACAATCATTATCATAATTTTGTAATTATTTTTAATAATTTTTACTTTAATGTTTAAGTTAAAATATTTAACAGAACATTTATATAGGCAACTATATATATTTAATATTTAAGATGAATTATTTTATTAAAATTAGATTTATTTTAGGAATAATATAATATTCATTGTTACATTAATATATTATTAATATATTATACAATAGATATAATATATTTTAATTAGTTATTGACATTTTTTTTAAGTATTTACATATAAATAGATAAAATTAATTAATTTAATTATATTTAATATTTGAATAATATTTTGTTTTATTTTACAATACTCCATACATTGATATACAGGTACAATATGTATTATACAATATCAATATTATAACAAGAATATCATTATAAGCTATAATATGATATTAACATATATATATTTATAAGTATTTATACACACACACACACATATATATACTACTATTACAATGATAATGTCTAAAATAATATAGTATATTAATTTATATTAAATAGTAAAATTTATATTAAATTTCTATGATAATTATTTTAGTTATCATATTAAATATTATAAATCTATAATGGATTCAAATTTCAAAAATACTTTAATTTATTTTGCAAATGTTGTAAATTATATACAAACTCCTCCAGCAAATAAATATTGGCAATTATTTGTACAAAATATTAATATGACAGTAATCGAGTGCAATGATTATTATAATTATTCAAATAATTTATTAAATAAAACAGCTGATCATATATCTATGATTGTTAATAGCGATTTTGTATGCAATTAAAATTTATATATTAATGAACTAATTATAAAAATAGTTTTTTTTAGTTAATAAAATAATTACATGTATATTTAATTTATTTATATAACTATTTAATCATATATTTAAATGTAGATGTTTTTATACGATTTAAATGAAAAATCAAAATTAATGGGCACAACTACACTGTTATTTTTAATGGATGTTTCAAAACAGATTAACATAAGGTATTATTAAAATTATAAATTTTATTTATATTACTTAAATAGGTAACTAAATATTATTTTTAGTCAATAAAGTAACAAAAAAATTATAAAATTATTTAAAATTAATCTAAAAATTTAAAAAAAATTTATATATTTAAAAAAAATACTTTTAGCTTAAATTTGGTTGTTAATAATTGTTTTGAAAATCTAACAAGATCATTGGTTAATTTGACTAATAACTATGATAATTTAATTGTAAACGATCTTGAACATTATCAATCACATAATTACGAGTTTATGACTTATGTTATGCACAATTATAGTTGCATTCGGCCACTCTACATGTATAATAAATTTACTATAGTAAGTCCCAAATTGTTAACAGCATTGCCACCATTGATTAAAATACACAAAACATTTCAATGGTCAATATGGTTGCTAATACTATTTGCAATGATCTACACTTTAATCCTAGATATTAGTATTAGAAAATTATTAAAATTTTACAATATATCTATTAATAAATCAATATGGTCGTATATAAAATCACTAATTGGTATTGGTGATAGATATATGTACGCTAACAAAAATATGGTCTATATTACATGGTTTATGGCAATTATGCCCATTTGGATGACTATTCAAAATATATTGTATTCAATAATGGTTAATAGGTATATATATTTATACAAAATATATATATTTTTTAATGTATTGAAACATTATTTATATAAATAGAAATAAATTAATCTATATTTTTATTGTATATAGAGATTATCATTATTATGAATCAATTGGTGAATTACTAAATACAAATTGTGATGTATTTTGTGTTGATTTAAATTATAAAGATTTAAATACTAAAAATCTTTTTAGATATTATGAGCCAACAATGCGCCTAAAATTTTCTAAGCTAACTAAAAAATTGAAAATTGTTAATTCACCAGATAATTATAATTTGGTACTTAAATGGCTAAATGATCCTAGTACACTTAATTCAATGTTGAAAAATAAAGCGGCCATATTTGATAAAATATTTGCCGAAACATTTGCGCCATATTTCGGACGATTTTTTGATTTACATATTGGCGATACATTTTTGCCGCTATTGATTTCACCATTATGTTATGGACATAATTTTTCCAGGACATATAATATTGATTACATTGAAAAACAGTATGCAATTTTTTTACATCCATTTTCACTTATATTTTTCACTTATTAGTTATTTTTATATTCTTATTACTACAAAAACAAATCTACTAATTACTTATATACAGTATATACTAAATAAATATTTTGCATATTTTCATATTTGTATTTTGTACACACTTTTATATATTTATTTTTATGTGCATTTTATTTTATTTAACTACTTAAATAATAAATTTATAACTATTTTTAGAAATTTTTTTGTTGATATTTACACGTTATAAAAACATATGCTAAAACAATATACTATGTATTATTTATATATAATATTTAATTATTTGATAATATTTTTATCTATAAATTATTTTAGGTCATCAAAAATGTTTGAAAGTTATATAATGCAAAATTATATGAAATATCAACAAAAATTTGTATTTGAATTAAGTGTATCACTATTGAAATATATGTTTAGTACACCTGGTATTCTCAATAACAATGATAAAAATATTGAAGATTATTATCAACAATCATTGTCTGAACATGATTATACATTGACCATGGACCAATTTAAATCATTATTCTACTATATACTATATGCATTGATTTCAAGTATTATAACATGTTTATTTGAAAGATTGTTTTTTAATAAATTTATTAAAAAACAAAACAATCAATCAGTTTCGGATAAAATACTAACTCACCGATTGGCGAGAAGCTATCAGTCCTTATCTTACAGGTATAGGTTTTCCATTGAAAAAGGTTAGTATATGGGCTTATGATTGCTAACCAACATATCATTGAGTGAAAAAACTTTATAACATGTATTAATTTATATCATAGTATTATTATTAATTTAATTATACAGTAAATTTATATAAAGTTGTTACATAGTCATATTCAATATTCTAGTAATAATAAAAACATTATATTAAACTTTATATTTTAATAAAAATAATATTGTGCTTTATTTTTTAAAAAACAAATAATATAATTAATTTATTAAGTTTTTTGTAGTTGTCGACACTCATTATATTAATGTAAGTTTTGCTTACTTTGTTGATCACAACTTTGTATCCGCAAACTAGCGGTAAATTTCTGGACAAATGTTTCGAGGAGATCGGCTCCTCTTCATCAGCAGTGATGGTCAACTGACTCCCTAACCCTGACTTCACTTATGGCTATTAAGGCAACTGTAAGTGTCAGGTCTGACCCTCAGTTAACCATCACTGCTGATGAAGAGGAGCCGATCTCCTCGAAACAATTGTCCAGAAATTTACCGCTAGTTTGCGGATACAAAGTTGTGATCAACAAAGTAAGCAAAACTTACAAATAATATAAATTTTATTGTATTGTAAATTTTATATTTATAATAATATAACTATTTGGACATTTATTAAATTCTTAAATTATATATCAATTTGATTATAATTATTAATACTTTAATTTTTTTCAATTTAAACCATTCCGCCGGCATTATGAACAATACCGCCATCGATGACAAAATTGGCACCGGTAACAAACTGTGCCTGATCACTGGCCAAATAGGCCACTCCCTGTGCAATGTCCTGGGGTTGTCCCACACGTTTCATAGGTGTTCTGTCTATAGCCTGTTTAACTAATGCTTGAGCTATTGTAGGATCCAAATCATTTCCGATATCGGTTTTTACATAACCTGAACTATTTAACAAATAACAGTATATATTAATTAGTATTTATAGTTTTTGATATTGAAATTAAATAAAGTGTTTAAAAGATTACTTGATTGCATTGACTCGTATATTAGGTCCCAACTCTAATGCCAAAACACGTGTCATTATATCAATACCCGCTTTTGATATAGACATTGGCAACGAGTATTTCATCTAAGATTATATAAAATAATAAACAAAATTCATATTTCTATATATTTTATTTGACAATAATGAGTAAAATACAAAAAATATAGTAATTTTATTTGTTAACATACCGGCGCCAGTGATATGATGCCAGATATATTGATAATATTGCCATTAGTTTTCTGTAAATATGGTACTGCCAGATGACTGAGCTGAACATGTGGTCTCAAGTTAGCCGATATACCGGTGTCGTACACCTGCATAAAGTTAGGCAGTGTTATCGGTGCCATCACTGCAATGCCGGCGTTGTTGACCAACACATCCAACTGTCCGTATTTTTCTATAGTCTTTGTCAATAAATCCTGTAATTCATTGTCTTTGCAGATGTCGGCCACCACTTGTAACGGCTATTGATTATAAAATTTAAAAATATTATTTATATTTTAGCAAATAATTTATTAATCAGTAAATTATTATTTTTATGATTTTTTAAATTGATATTATTAAACTGTAATTATATACTATATATATATATAAATTTAATCAATAATAAATGAGTACTAAATTTATACTAAATAATTTTTAGATCTGAATGACTTAAACATATTTAAAATCAATTTAACATAAGTAAATAAACATAAATTTATTACTATCTTATTAAATATATAAATATATAATAACCTTTAAGTTTTTTGGTGATAATTGTTGACATTCATTGGCAACACTTTGTATTTTATCGGTATTTCTGCCAGTGATTACTACATAAGCGCCCAATTGTGCAAAAAGTTTGGCAATACCGGCACCAATACCTCCACTTGAACCGGTAGTTAACACAACTTTTCCTGTAAAATCAAAATTCATTTTTGTAGTAAAACTCATTTTGGTTAACAATTTTTTTTGTAATTATAGAATATTAACAAAAATATTAAAATATATATTAAGTTTATTAAACAGTTTTATTATAAATATTAAACTTATTTTAATAATAATTATTTTTATATAATTTGTATATTAGTGTTTATATACATTTAGTACACTTTTAGTGCACTTCAAGTGCAATTCTACTAAATGTATTGCACTTAATTTATTGCAATGGTATGCAAACAAATATAACTATAAACAAAATACAGGTGTAGTGTATAACTAACTATTACTAACTAATTATTAAAGTTAACGATATTTTAGTAATATTTTAGTTATTATATTTATATTATTTATTGTTGAGTTTGTTTTTTATTTTATGTGTGAAAATATATTTGAAAAATATTTCTTTTTGTAAATATAATTTCTTCTATATTTTTGTTGTCTAATCGACAAACTTTTTGAAACTTGACCACAAACTGCGGCCCAATTTATTTTTAATTAAAAAATAATACATATATATATAAGTAGCTAAGCCTTGAATTTAATAAAAATCTAAAATTATAAAAATATTTATATTATAAGTAATATGTTTAGTATTGAATTTTTATTTATAACATTTATTTAAAAAATTTTAATTAGGAAATAGTTAGAAAACATTTTTTATTCTATTATTATTAATTATTTAGTATACAAATTATTAAAAATGTTTTTATAACATTAAAAAAATTTTATTTTAATTAAAAATTATTACATTTAATAATAAAACAATAAATATTTTAATATAAAAATAAGTATATTTTAACTTTTATCTAATTTGTATTTTAGATAATAAGTTATTAAAGTTTATTTTTTTTAATAATGATAACTGTATATTAGCTCTAAGTTAAAATTATTGTTATAATTAGGTAACATAGATATCAAGTTTTGTTTTAATAATATACAAATATATATACTGTTTATATATAATTTTATTTTATTATTAAATTAATCCACCAGAATTATAGACTATACCACCATCGATGATCAGATCTGCACCGGTAATAAACGATGACTGATCACTGGCCAAAAATGCCACTCCCTGTGCTATCTCTAGGGGTTGTCCCATACGTTTCAATGGCGATCTAGCGATCCATAATTTTTTCAATTGTTCAGCAATTATCGGATCAATGCCTTTCATGTTATCATCAATAGGACCTGGACTATATTTATATATAATATATATATTATTATACATTAAAACATGTTTTTTAATTATGAAAAATAAATTTATATCTAATATTATTTATTTATTTATTAACCTAATTTGATTAACCCGTATATTTGGTCCCAACTCAAGTGCCAACACTTTGGTCATCATATCTATGCCAGCCTTGGCTATGGCAGTTGGTGTTGCAAATTTAAGCTAGATAAAATAATCAAATTATCATTAAAATTGTTTTATTATAATTATAAGTAATTATTGTAATTAATGTTTATAATTTTAATTAATAAATAATTATAACATACCGGTGCTTTAGATATAATGCCTGATATACTAATAATAGTGCCGTTTGTTTTTTGTAAATACGGTACCGCCAGATAACTTAGCTCAACATATGGTCTCAAATTGATAGACATAATTAAGTCATAGGATGACATAAAGTTTGTCATATTTATTGGTGTAAAAAGTCCTATCGAGGCATCGTTGACCAACACATCTAACCGACCAAACGTTTCAATTGTTTTGTTTAAAAGACCACTTAATTGATTATCTTTTGAAACATCGGCCACAACTTGTAATGGCTATTATAGTCAAAAAAAATATTTAATTAGTTATTTAGTTTATATTAAATCAATAGATATTAAAATACTTTTAGTTTTTTCGGTGACAATTGTTGACACTCATTGGATACATTTTTAATTTCAGTCACATTTCTACCGGTGACCACTACATGAGCGCCTAATTGGGCAAAATGTTTGACAATAGCGGCACCGATACCACTGCTCGAACCGGTAGTCAATACTACTTTATTAGTAAAATTATAATTTATTAAAGGATTAAATTCGCATTGTATTAAATTAATAATACAAAAAGTAAATGTAAATATAAAAACTTTCATTTTTATTAATATAAAATAATATTTTTATTAAATATTTTTTAACTAGATATTATGATAGTGAAGTAAAATTATCATTTACAATAGTGTGTTTATATACATAAACAACTATCTTTAGTGCAATTAGTGCTAATGTTTTTTAAGTATTTATATCAATATTGTCAATACTTAATAAAAAAATTGTTGATTGATGTATAAGTTATTATGAGTATTAAATTGTTTAAAAAAGTGTGCAAAAAGATAAAAACTTGATTATCTTAATTTTTAGACAAATATAATGAAAATTATATATTGTATATTTTTTAAATTTTTATTGTTAATATAAATGTATTGATTATAAAAATAAATAATTTTGTATAAATCATAACAAATTATTTTTCATACTCAAACTATTAACAGTATATACAGTTACACTGTATGTTATTAAACTATATTGTAGTACTTTTAATAATTATTAATATAAAATATATTGTAAATTATTATTTATTTTTATTAAAATACAATACAGGTATAATTATTAAAATTTTATATGATTAACAGTAATAATTTATAATATAAAATTTTATTGATATCTATCATATATCGTATATACAGTTTATTATTAACTTTATATAGATTTACTCTAAAACTTATTTACATAAATTTCTCGCAATAATAAATCATTGAAGAATCGGCACATTTTCAGTCATTATACCGGTGAATAAAATAACCTAAACTATAAATATTTAAAAATAATAGTATTTTTATTTTAATAATCACTCTCTTATAGATTGATTGTAATGACATAAAATACACAGTTTATACAATAATATTAACTTTATCTTAGGAAACATTTTAAGCCAGTGAAATACTGTACTGAAATACAGTAATATAACTTATTTTTATAATTATTATTAATACAAAATGTTAATTAATACAATTTAATTAATACAAATTAATACATTTTTTTTAATTAAAATAAACTTTACAATTTAAGAAATGTAAGATAATAATAATTATATATTTTTTAAACAATTTATATATACTAATAATAATATATATTTTTATGTTATATATAACCGACTAAAATACCAGTTGGCTTGAATTCCACATACCGCCACCATCGATGGCTAGATTGGCACCGGTAATAAATGATGCCTGGTCACTGGCCAAGAACACTACTCCCTGTGCAATGTCCAGTACTTGACCGGCACGTTTTAATGGTGATTCACTTATAAATTGTTTATTCATGGCATCAATAATAGCCGGATCAATACCAGGATGTGACATACCAGTGTTTATATAACCTGGACTACATATATAAATATAAAAATTAAATATTTAATATAAAATTATTATAATTAAGTATGATAATTACTTAATTGTGTTGACCCGTATATTGGGTCCCAACTCCAGTGCCAAAACACGGGTCATCATATCGACACCGGCTTTGGATACATCATAGGCTAATGTATTTTTATACTGTTTAATATAAAATTTATATAAAATATGTTATCGTTGTTTTTTATATCACGTTATATTATGTTTTAATATATTAACATTTTATATTTTTAAATTAACATAAAAAATTTATTAGAAAAGTTTATTATAATTATATCATTTTAAATAATCAAATAAATACTTATACAATAATTTTTAATAAGTTTAATGAATATGCTGTTTATAATATATATATATATATATATATTAATATTAATTTAATAATATAGGGAATAACATACCGGCACTGTCGACAATACACTGGATATACTGATAATTGAACCGTTTGTTTTGGTCAAATAAGGTACGGCCAAATATGACAGCTGGATAAACGGTCGCAAATTGATGGCCATTGTGCGATCAAATGTAGGCATAAAATTTTTTTTATCGGTTACCGCCGCAGATATGGATACACCGGCGTTGTTGACCAACACATCCAATCGGCCGTATGTTTCTACTGTTTCATTCAAAAGACCACTTAATTGATCATCTTTTGAAACATCGGCCACAACTTGTAATGGCTATTATAGTCAGAAAAAAATATTTAATTAATCATTTAGTTAATATTAAATTAATAGATATTAATATACTTTTAGTTTTTTCGGTGACAATTGTTGGCACTCATCGGATACATTTTTAATTTCAGTCACATTTCTACCGGTGACCACTACATGAGCGCCTAATTGGGCAAATAATTTGACAATACCGGCACCAATACCACTGCTGGAACCGGTGGTTAATATTACTTTATCGGTAAAATTATAATTTACTAATGAATTGACTTCACATTGTACTAAATTTATAGAATTTAATAGACCTATAATACAGAAAGTAGCTTTTAATGTAAAAATTTTCATTTTTTATTAATTTAAACTAAAATCTTTAAAATTATTAGTTTTTTATTATTTTTAGATATAATCTTAATATAGAAAATTAGTTGTCATTATAATGTGTTTATATACTTTTATAATAATTGTCAATAAAATTTAGTACAATTAGTGCTAATGAGTTTTCTTATCATAAATATCAATACTTAATATATAAATTGTTAATATTTTATAAGTTTATATTGATTTTGTAATAATTTCGGTATGAATTTTATTATTTGATTTATTTGATAATTCAATAAAATTTATTATTTATTAATTAATAAAACGTTGATTAGCTATTAAAACAAATATAATTAATGAGTTAATTCTTTTTAAGTTAATTCAAATTAATGTGAATTACAGTATAGGAAAAATGTCGATCTCTTAAACAGTCAAAAAAACATATATCAAATAATTTATATGATTTTTGAAAATATTATCGTTATATTTAGATGTTTTAACTAAAAGTGAATTTAAAAATTTTGAATATTAACATTTTTATATTGTGATGGACTAGTAGTTTTTTATTTATAAAATATCATTATGACAATAAAATAATATAACAAATTGT